GCAGAAAGAAACCTCTGCTGATCATTCCCTTCAAACCCATGATCAAATCCCGCAGCTTCAAATTGATCCGGGGGAGTGCATAATATACTCATCAGAGTGCCCTCTGCAAAAACCACCATTTCACACTGAGAATCGCAAAGCAAGTTCCGGAGAGCTTGCGTGTGGTGGTTTATGTGAAGTGGACACTAAGTTAACTGTTGCGATGGTCACGCACCGAGTGAATTGATGCAGTGAGACGACCAAACAATCCAGGTAATACTGGGTCGCTAGCATGGAGAGATTCAGATTTCAGCGGCCAATTTTAGGCATACAGAATCATCGGCAAAGAGGGAATAGCCCGAATCGGCAGCCTTGCAACATGCAAACGGAAACGTCACGGCGGCAATCAGGCCATCCTACACCAAAGGGTGTATAAAGGAGGTGATCAACTGTTCAACGCCTTTCGGGCTTATTATCGGTTTGTTTACTCCATACCGTTTCGTGGTGTTTTTTGATTTCAGCTTTTTGAGTACAGGTGTAGAACGCGAAGTACACTTTGGCAGCTCCGGCATGTGTTGCCGCAGCTTTTAAGTGCAAGTCTGCATGTTTTGCCAGGAAGGACCGGCACACTGAAGTACTAACCCCTCCCTATACAGCGCCGAAGGACTCAAGCATGATTTCCTTGCCCTTCGAAACCAACCTGGAGCGGAAAACCTCATTTTGGGACAGACACGTGCGTGTCCACTGTTCATGGCTTTGGCCAGGCACTTGAACCCTTAGGAACCCCTGCTCCCTAGTCCCCCAATTTTCGAGGCTATCAGTTTTTGCACAGTTTGGTGGGTCCATTGCTACAGCCAAGGCTGAAAAGGGAGCTGCAAGATGTTAATGCAGAGTAGATTGAACAACAACAGCCTTGAACTGGCTTTGACTTGGAGCACTGTCCTGATTGGGTGTCCAGGATTGGCAGACTTGAGCCCTAGCTTTGCGTGATGAAAGGGTTGCGGACCCAGGCTCACACAAGTAACTCTGGTATACCAACAGAGAACATCCATTTGATTCCCCACTAACCCCAGAAAAACACCCCCCCTACTAATAAACTGTGATTGGCTAATGGGCCAACATCCATTTTGTGCAGGGACACCCGAGGACCACGAAAACGTGCCCCGCATCACCCGACGTTCGAAGCATCACCGAGCATCCGAGGCTAAGGAAACCGATGCCCAGCGGATCTTCAGGCTGGCCTGTGAGCTGCTTATCGGGTGGCCCGTCTTCTTTGGATTTTTTTTGGACTTATTGCAGCCTCAGAGCCTAGGGAAACCCACCGGAAAAAAAAGAAGAAGAAGAAAAGCAAGCCAAACTCAAAGGGGACCCTCCCCCCCCCCCAAAAAAAAAAGGGACACACCCAAGGAAAGAATCAGCCACCCCCGGCTCCCTCATTTCACGACCTGTGTCTCAATGCTTCAGGGACTCGGCAACGAGGGGCACCCACCGGAGCGTGGCGCTTTTGTTTGGCCAGCCTCTGAATCCGTAATTCCCAATGCTATAAGTGCAGAGCAGAAGAACTAAGCGCAAAAATAAAAAGCCGTCTTTTTGCTGCTTATGGGAAGAATCCAGCAAATCAAGCATGCAACGCTTCAACTGACCACCTGGAAACCATTTCATTCCTGCATTGCTTTGTTACGGTAAACGTTAAAACGCGATGCCACATTGTGGTCACATCATGACAAGTGCAAGTTTGAACCGGCATGTCAAGTGCCCGTCCGAAACCCAAGCAGGCCAACATTTCAATTCGCCAAGATTCGCGTAAAGTTGGTCGCGCTTGTTATGCCGCGACTTGGGAATGATCTTGAACTTCGGCCGCTTAGCATCTTGCTGGATATCATTTGCATGGGGGGGTTATGCTCACCGATCTCGAGGATGCTCCCGATACAGAATCTCGCTGCCTACTTGTGATTGTGATGTGCTCTTCTGGATCAGAAGGGCTTCGGAGCACAGTCCTCAAAGGCGTCCTCCTGTCCTACCAGGTATTGATCGAAGCGAGCTTTGATCGATGCGAGTAATGCGACTCTCTGCAGCGCAGGGGCTGCATCGAGGACCTGCAGCTGTTCAGCGATCAGGACAGCTACAAATCGCTCCTCGGCTGCGAGGCTCTATGCGGGAGGTCGACATCCCCTGGTCCACCCCCAGTCGGTTATGCCTTTTTTGAGGGTAGCCTTTCTTGGGTGTGGAAAGGGAAGCTCACGGGGGTCTGTTTTGCTGGATCCACTAAAGTGCCATCCTCAACCATCCTCAAAATGAGCCTCTAACTCTAAATGGTAGGAAGGGAAACGACCCCCAACAGTCGGTTTCTCTCTGCTTGTGTTGAAAGATTCACTTTAAAGTGACATCCTCAAAATGGAATGGTTGTATGAAGGGAACCCGCTACCAACAGTCATTTGGAGAAGCCCTCAAAATCTTGACTTGGGACGTCGCATGACTTGCTGGTGCGATAAGCAGCAAATGAGACATGGAATGACCCCGATATAAACCATCCAACTGGTGGTTTCCTTTCTTCGGGGACCAAAGCCCGGGTTCATTCCATGTCACATTCCCCGCCGATGTTGCACCAAGATGACCATAGGTGGCCTTAAAAATAGATGGCCCTGGTAAAAGGAAGAAACCCCACCTACACCAGTGCCATCGATTTTCTTCATCAAACTAAGCTAAAAAGGGCACCTATGAAGATGACACCACCACTGCGTCCGAGGGGCTGAAGGGCTGGTGAGCCACTCCCCCGGCGCCAGCCAGTCCCCAGGCTCCAGACGCCCGCAGCGCCGGAACACCCCGCAGCCGCTGGAACCCGCCGAGCTCGACTCAGATATCGAGTCAGCGAGTCGAGCGGCGCGAAACGCCCCGAACACTTTCAAGGCAATGGCGTCGTCCGTGTGGCGAGGGTTCCGTTGACCCAAACGAAACGACCTGGAGCCCCAAAATACTCGGACTAAAATTGGGGGTATTGCTCGAAATGCCTGGGGTGATGTCTCTTTGTTAAGGGCAATCCTTTACTCAATTGCCCCAAAGGACCCGGAAATCAAAGGTGCTCACCTTTTGGTTTTCCATGACTGATTTATTGACCAACATGGAAGATGTGAAGGTTAAAAGCTCAGCTTTGGGCAACTGAGTTTACCCTCCCACCATTTTTAGGGGATCCTGGTTTGGACCATTTTCCTTTTAAGGGAAAATCCAAACGTCTCCATGTTAATTGGAGGCTAAGCCAGCCAGAAAACAAGAAACTCTCTCTCTTGCACCTCATCAATACCCAAAAAACATGACCCTCTTTGGGGGTGGGCCTCTTTAATCAGGCAACATGCGTTCCATTAAACATGTGAATACATGCTGTTAAAGAAGATTTGTGGCTGCTTTTTGTTCTCCCCAACGCAGGAAAGCCAGAAGGAACCAAACACATGTTATTCGTCTGTTGAAGACTCGAAACAGTCCTGTTCAAGGATCAGGGGCTCATGCCCAACTTCGCCGCGACCGTATGGGTTCTGGAGCCAGTTGACACCCTGAAATTCAGAGCATTGCTCACGGTGTCTGAATTGCAGAAGGTGTGAATGCCCACAAAAACGCTGGCGCGCGCTGGCCAGCGTCTCGCCAAATACAGGCGACAAACACGGTTCCGCGCAGCAGTTTTTGTACTTGACACATCTTCCACAACCCGAACGGTATGGTAGCAAAAGAAACTTTGCTTTTTGAAGCCCCCTTCCAAACATGAGGATCAGTGAAGGCATGACATTCACATGCCAAGGTCTTGGAACCCTTTGGGCCTTGCGCCTGGTGACCACCCTTCGCGCGAATGGCAAGGCGCCCAAAAGCACAGCGCCAGGCAGAGCGCCAGAAAGCCCATGCGGCCGCTTGCGCCATGCAGGACGCCACACGAAATCGCTTGGCCGCTCTGGGAAGTGAGGGGCAGTGGACTCAAGCAGAGTGATGTTGGTCCTTTGGATCTGCCCCTAGGTCTGGGAAGTGCTCTGGGAAGCGCTTGGAGTGAATGATGGGACTCTGGATCTGTTTGAAGCAAGATTGGCTATGATGGGACATCTCGAAGAAGAGCTTGCTTCACAATTCACGACTCAGTTTGAAAGGGTTGAGGTCGCAACTAAGGAATGACGTGCAACGGGTATCTCAGAATCGATTCATTGGCTGGCCAGAAGTCCAAAGCTGCCAATCTGTCACCTTGTAGTTGCGCGCCCCTGTCAGCTTCAGTGGAAACCAAGCTGTTCCCTGTTTGGGTGTCTTTTTTGCATGGTACCCATGGTTGCGGTGGTTTCGAAGGGGAGCAACCGGAAAGCCACAAACCCGCCTATTTTGAGGGTCCCACCTTCCTCGAGACAACCCCATGCGGCCCTAGCACCTTCCGAGCCAGGTCGCAAGCCCGAGTCGCAAGTGAGGTGCCAGAAAAAAATAATCACTCAGAACTTCCGGAGCCCAAGACAGCCAAAGATAGGCCCACGGTTTTTGGCGGGGAGCGAAGGGTGAGTCTGAAAACTTAGACCTCAATGATTCATGCTCAGACCGCCCGAAGGATGGCACACAAATCCTCCCAAGGGTATATGTGCCGTAAGAATGAGCAGCTCATCCAATCCAATCTTTGCATTTGATCCACGTGAAGGATGGGCTGACAAGTGCTAACCGCGAGGTGAAGCACATTGCAAGTCGGAGCATAGCCATCTACAGAAACCTTGAGATGGACTGGTTGGAGGACTGAGGGCCTTGGTTGCAGTCCATGCTGGTGCTTCGGGCAAACACGCAAGGCGGGCGGATGATTTAAGCCGTAGACCAAAGCTGTACCTGGAACGATATTTCAGACTAAACCCACCAACTCTCGAGGACACCTGCACCTGAAACATCTACAGGAAACCGTTGCTAGCATGTGTTTTACCCGAAATCCCATTTTCGTTTGTTTTTTGCTTTCTGGGGTATGGTTGTCCGCTTTGCTTGATAACTCCATTCTTTAACGCGTCGCGTCGCATCAACCGCGCCTCCTGGCACACCGGGCATTGAAACTGCGGCCGCTTAGAATTCCTGCCGCGATGAGTGCCCGAAGAATGGTATCGGGTACCTTACTTTCCCTTCAGGCTGGCAAACACACAGTGCACCCTTGTATTTCTAGGGGAAGCCTGCTCGACGAAGGGGAAAACATGGGAGGACACTGAAACATGTTGGTGAACATGCGGCCTAATCTCACTTGCCCAAAGGACCTGGAAATAAAAGGTTCACTTTTTGAGGCCATTACCAAAAATTGACCAAAACGAGGAAACCAAAAGGTCGAAAGGTCGGCATTTGGCAACTGAGTAGTATAAATCTACCAAAGGGTGTCCAACAAAACAATCCTCCAGCTTTGCTTTCAATAGGAGAGGTTCAAATGTAAGAATTGTTCACTTACTTCCCCCCAACTTCCCTCCAACCCTACCTCCCCCAACTTCCCTCCAACTTCCCCTCCTCTTTTTCACTCCAAAATACAGACGACACATATCGAAAAGCAGACTCTTGGGCGCAGGCAGGCGCGCGCGCCGCGCTGCAGCGACTGCCGGATCCCTGGAAAGCTCCTGAGAGTCAGCTCTGGGTGAAAATTCTTTAGGGGACCCTCCAAAATCGTGTTCCTTTTTTTCCCTCTTGGCGGCCCTTCTTTCTGAAAGCCACAAAAAAGGGCTACCCTTAAAAACGACAGACACATTCGGTCAATATTCCGTTCGGCCAAATGACCAAGGGCAACTTTTCCCATGGAAATATCAGTTTGACAGTGCTTTCCCCCATGGTAACGTAAAGAACCTTCTGATCAACCCCCTTCATAAGTATACTCAGAAACCTGGCCGCGTTCGCCGTTGGTCACACATGTTGCGGGTGTGGCATGTGGGCCCGGGGAGGATGAGGCAGGGATCTGGAAGGGAGTGCAAGTGCGTTTTCAACAGGAAGCACACGGTCTTCAGAAGCATACAGAATAGTCTTCAGCTTAGGCTTACACAGACTTGAGATCTGTAGCCTGCGTCCGTTGAAAATGCTTCGCTCGCAGCCAGGTGCGTGGGCTTGGCTCTTTCGCTCCGCGGCGGCGTGTGCCGCCATTCGCGCCATGTCTCCAGCCCAGCGAGGCTTTCAGTTGGTTCAAGCTACGACTCTTCGCGTTGTGCTCCCGCGGGAGCTTAGATCCGCTTCGCTTCAAGGGCTTGGCTTCAAGAGTTCTTCGCCTCGATGCGCTAAACTTGCACCCGACTCACCTGCGGTGCCCTCAGTCCCCGCGCTGTCCGGCTTTTCTTCTCGCCGGCTTAAGTACGTCATGAAGCATTCGCAGGCGAGACGTGCGCGCAAAAATGCAGACATAGATCAACACTTCAACAATTCGACAAAGCGGTGGGGTCAACCAATGCTGCGGTGTGATTATTTTTGAGAATGTGGAACAAGAAGCTGCCATACAAAACTTGACTGATCTATGAAGAATAGTGGCATCTCAATTGATTAAGAGTACGCACTGTCACGTGCCCGAAAGATCATCTATCACCCTTTATCAAAAGCAGCGCCCTCTGTGCAACATCTCATCTGGAGAAAAGAGCATGTGCATACTCGTCTCAGCCCTAGAACTGGTTCAACACCGTCTGAAACATAGGTGGCATCTGATCCATTTGGCAGAGCTCCTTCAAGTGGTTACAGGGCTGCGCTTGAGTTCATGTGATTCATCTAGTCTTGACCGGGTGAAATAAAGCCTGAATTAAACACTGAGGCTAGGTCCTCCAGTAGAGAGGTTAGAATATGAATACGGGTACCCTTTTTTCTGTAGTCTATTTTAGTAGGTAAACCCTCCCAACCAAAAAAGAAACGGTCAAAGGGCACCTAGCTGGGGGCCCTAGGAGGGGATGCCATGAGACTCAAACCGCAGCGACGTATCGAATGCTGAGGCAGGCACCCAGGGCCTGAGGAAGTCCACATAGCCAGTGTCCTCCCAGCAAAGCGCTGTCCACTTGTCAGTTCCAACCCAACTTGCGGGTGATGAACAAGCATGTGTAGATTTAGTATATGTATAGTTATATATATATACATCCGTATACATATACATATATATATATAGTTGTGCGTGTGTGTATATATATATATATATGAATCTGCCCGAATGTGCATGAATCACACATCTCAATTCAGGGTCGCTAAGGGACCTGGGTAAGCTTGCATTGTCCCTGCAACTGTGCGCGCGGTAACAAATCGCTTGTGCTTCAAAGCGCGGGCGCTCAACTGGCTTCAATATGCAGCCCCTCTCCGAGCGGAATGGCCCCTCCGACCTGAAGCTGTGGTTGGGACTGGCATCTCATGACTTTGACGCTCGCGTCTTGCACCGAGAAATGACGTCATGCAGCTAGCAACATGCAAAAAAGCAAGAGTCTACCTGCTGTCCATGTCCACTTGTTCTTGACCCCCAACAAATCCGCTCACATGTTTTTCCAAGCCAAGAAGGTGATGTTGCAACCCCGTGCTGGACTTCCTAGCTGGCCGCCTCCCTGCCGCCGACTCACTCCTCGCCAGAAAGCAGCAGTTCCGCCCAGCGCGCCTCCTAACGAGCACTGTGGGCGAAGCATGGTTTGTCAGTTGACTGTGGGTCAAAAATCGGTACCCCAAATGGAACCCTGGAAAATGGAAACATGCACTAAAATCTGCGGTCCCCTGGTGATTCAATATTGACCCACACCCAGTTGGTTCGCCAGTTGGTTCTACGCGGGCCTCCGCTTCGTCCTCACGCGCGGGAATGGGTGGGTGGGACTGCTGGTAAGAATGGGGTTGCCAGTTTGACTCTAAAACAGCTACAACGGTTTGGCTGGTCACTGGAGTCTAAGTCAGCCTAGTTTGGACAACCCACGTGATGCCTTTGGGAGAGAAAAAGGATAGAGCTTGGGAGCATCCACATGTTGGCAGGTGTGGTCAAACATTTTTTCGGCAAAATTCAGTTTTTTCCCCGTGGAACCTGTGTTTCACACGACCAAAGGCCCTGAAAATTGACCCAGCACCCCTCGCCCAGAGTGGGCCGCACAGATTGCCCCACCCTTCAGGCGGTGATCCTTTGCTTGAGGCCCTTGAGGAGTGGCAAAAAAACCGTCGTCCCTTTGTCGGTAGGTCACAAACGTCATGTTCAGGAAAGTAGTTCTCCTTTTAGCATTTTCTCTAACTCTTGAGGTGGCCATGATGAAATGTGGAACGAACTTTTGAGGTGGAAATGTGGAACGAACTCTTGAGGTGGCCATGATGCCACGTGGAACGAACTTTTGAGGTGGCCATAATGAAATTTGGAACTAACTCTTGAGGTGGCCATGAGGAAATGTGGAACGAACTCTTGAGGTGGGCATGATGACATGTGGAGCGAACTTTTGAGATGGCCATGAAATCTAGACCAAATTGGGACAGTCCAAATGCAGGCAACAAGGGAAACTTATACATGGCACTGACCTTGAAATGTTCCGGTGCCGTCCAGCGTGGGCCAGCATTTCAAAAACTGCGAACCGGAATACAATGTATGTCAATGTATGCGTGTATGGATTATATATGGGCGGGCATTGCAGAGTGTCGGGAGCTCTCCATCTCCAATGGAACGACACACACACACACACACGTGTGTGTGTGTGTGTGTTCTTGTAGGAATAAAACAACCCTATGTGATTCATGTCGACATTTGTTTGTTCGTGCTGACTCAACATGTTCCATTCACCTAATTACACCTCGCTTGTCATCTTCCGAATGCAAAATGCCAAATCAAATCAACTCCTCTTCCTGGCTAATTGCTTATCGCACCTGAACTCTCCTGACTTGTGGTGCTGCCTGCGGAACACATCAGGCATCTCCTTGGCCCTCTTTTTGCGAACTTTGCCTCTGGCCTCGGCCCGTACACGCAACCCGCGGAGACATCTGGCCACGTTTTGGGGAACTTCGTGTCTTCAAGAGCGTTTGACAAGGAACATTAGGTGGTCGATTTCAAAAGAAGACCACTCTGATGCCAAGTACATGGAGGGTCCGCGTCCTGGTTTTGACACCTTACAACTTCAAATCATCAAATCGCCCGCCACTCCGCCAATCTTCGACTGTTTTCGCAACTGGTGAGATGTGACTTGTGCTTCCGAGCCTTGTCTCAGGCCCGGGCCATCGCCTCCTTAGAAAAACAAGTTGGCGCAAAGAAAACTCTCTCTGCCTGAAGGCTGCAACCGCGAGCAATTGTACCATCAACTGAAAACCAATTGGATTGGTATGCCGAGAACTTTTGTCATGAGGTCGCAGGCAACCTTTGAGATGGTTGTCTTGATTTGCACGCATACCATGGCTTTCGGCGTACTCGACAGCCCCATGACTTCGATTTCCCACCCAGAAATGGTCTGCGACCTGGGAAAATAGGGCGGTCTTCATACGAACACCTTTTTGTCCGGGCATGAAGGCGCTGGGTTGTTCCATCTCATGTTTCTCCGCATGCGTTCAAGCTGTGCTGAGAAATCAAGCGAGGAGGGCTCAGTCTGTGAGCAACGTTGCCCATGGCCAACCTCCGCAAAAAAAAACCGAAGACGGCTTCCATGGTCCCCTGAATATGAATGCGAATGATGTGTCAACATCTATACATGTTTGCTTGAGAAATAATAAAACCGCCACTGATCTGAACATCCATGTGGCATGCGACCAGCTTGTCCATCAACATATGACACAACCACAGCCCGTAAAGATCCCTCTGCACCTCTGCGTTTGCCGTCCCTTGTATCTTGGCATGGGCGAGCTCGCGCCTGGGGTCTGTGACGTCTGGGGATGCCACGCCCATCCGCATAGTAGGCTGGATAGAGGAGGAAAATCTCTTGTGGGCCTGTGGCACGCCAAAGTCGCCATCAAAGCGTGAGAAGAGGAACCCACCATATCAAACAAAAACAAGAAAGACACAAGTCTGCACCTATTTATGGCCAGGCCCCTTCCGTTCAGCTGCCACTACCCAGGTTTTGGGAATGACTCCTCTCCCCCTTCACCACCAATCAAATAAACCAAGCGCACAAAATGATGTGCACAACTTGCCAAGCACCCGTCAAAAATGAGTGATGTGACTCATTTCCAGTAGAATTTCCACAGGTCCTTCGACCCAAGCAATCGCTGGAACAATTAGAACCAAACAAAAATGGAAGTCTACCCGGGGAAAAAAAAAAAAAAACAACTACTACAGTATTAGTGGACTGCGCTCTCGGCGGATCCGTCAAGAACCAAACGGCGAAGTCCCAAAGAAGCTGCTTGACTTTGACAGGTCTCTGGTACTGAAACAGACATCCAAAAAGTCAGCCTCGCCGATCCCCACTGCTACACCAATACGACATCAGTGCTCGAATCATGCTAGAATGATACTGCCAGCCACACTAAACCAATTCAAAACCAACGCAGTGCCGAATCGTGCGCTTGATGATTCTGTTTGAGATTGCCGGATAGATCAACGTTCCGCCCCAGAAAGGGGGGAACAAAGACCAAAGACCGACAAAAGGTTTGGAAAACCGAGAAGGACCAAACAGTGCCACAGGCAACCGAGGAGAACAAATTTAAAACCTGATAGAGAACAAATGAAAAACCTGATAGAAGCCACGAGCCCGAACCAAGGCTACTGTTGCATGTCTATCCGCGCTTGTCTCTGCCGTCCATGCACCTGCGGAATGACCCATTATCTGTCTATCCATCCGTCGACCTATGCATCCGTGCATTTTTCCGTGCATCTATTCATCTGCCTGTCTGTCTGTCTGTCTGTCTGCCTATCTGTCTGTCTGTCTGTCTGCCTGCCTGCCTGTCTGTCTGTCTGTCTGTCTGTCCGTCCGTCCGTCTGTCTGTCCGTGTGTCCATCGATGCATCTGTACATCTGTCCACCTGTCTATCTATCCGCCTATTCACCTACCTATCTATCTAGCGAATCTATCTACTCTGTCCATGTGCCTCTTGTATTTTCTAGTTTAACCACCTTTTGTCTAATCGTTTAACATTTGTTTCTCCCACCTTTTGTCGATCTATCTGCCTGTCAACCTGTGTCTGTCTACCTAGTCAATGCGTGCTATCTTTGCCTCAACCTTGTCCGTGTGTCTGCCCCCCTTTCGAACCATCTATACATCTATCCCTCGGTCTCTCTGCCTATCTTTCAACCATAAACTATCTGAATTAGCGTCCCTTCGGGAATCGAACTGGAGGTGGAAAGGCGCACTTTGCGCGCAACTTTCGAGCTGGAGCAGCGAAAGACTGTGACTCTTTTCCTGTCTCTTTGTCATTGTCTGTATGTACGTTCTCCTGTTTTCCTGTCCTGCCTGTCTGTCTGTCGAGGAGACACTTCACGTAGATCTCATCTCCGTTCCTTTCTTTCTCTATCTACCGAGATCGATTGATCTATTTATCTCTCGATCTAAATCTATTCATATCTATTCATCTATCTATCTATCTATCTATCTATCTATCCATCTATCTATCTGTTCAAATGTCTGTGAAATGTATCTCTGTCTATCTACCTGTGTCTGTCTATCTACCTGCGTGAGTATCCACCCATGTACATGGTGGTCTCTCTATCTATCTATCTATCTATGTATCTATCTAGCTAGCTATCTATCGATCTATCTATCTGTCCTCTACAGTACCTATCTGTCTGTCTACCATTCTATCCTTTCTTCTATCATCCTATCTATCATTCTATCAATATTTCTATCTGTCTGTGTACCTTTATGTACTTCTATCAACCTACCTATCCGTCTATCTGTCTATCTGTCTATCTGTCTATCTCTCCATCTGTCTATCTGTCTATCTGCCTATCTATCTATCTAGCTAGATAGACACATAGACAGGCGGATAGATAGATATCCATGTGGCAAGATAGAAAGATAGACGGTAGAAAGGTAATGGAGATAGATAGAAAGATAAATGGACAGATAAAAATGCAGGTTAATACATAGATTAGATAAATAGATATCTATATATATATATATATAGATCTCTCTCTCTCTCTCTTTCCGTGTTTGTACCCGTCTCATCAATCGACTTATCTACCTGCCTATCTGCCCATCCAAAATGGGGTCCACACCATGGATCCTGCCTCTCTCACGACATCCACCAAGTTCTCCAGCACCGCTCGAGGCGTCACTTCGAGCCTTCCAAAGGGCACGTGACGGGTGGGCCTTGCAGTTCTCCACTTCTGTGATACAAGAAGGGCTTCCCAAAGACCAGCCCACATAACGGAAGTGGGAGATTCCCTTGTATCACAGAAGTGGGGTAAAACCCCTTGATCCCACAACCCTGGTTCATATTGTTTGCTTCTTCCTGTCCCCTTTGGAGTCCAGCCATGCGGGTCCCCGCAAACGAAACCTTCAGCTTCCCAACCCTTTCCAAGCTCTGCTCGGATGAACCGCCCACATGCGCCAGCACAAGCGTTCATCCCAGATTGCAAAGCGGATTTGCTCATGGGCATCGGCGGCCAAACACGCATACACACACACATGCACTGTCACGTGTCTCGTGGGCCTAAAATTGGTCAGTGAAGAGTTTCCACAGGCTTGTCTTCTTGCAAACCACCACCTGTATCGAGATACAGTCGCAAATGCCGGTCCAAAAAGTATCGAATGGCAATGGGGACTAGCTGCTTCGTTGGAGGTTTCACCGTTGTTTCCCCGTTGAGGCAACCCCAGAAACGTCCACCCCAGACAGCTGCCTCCCTGTCTGAAGACTGCGCGGCTTCGCGTCGCCAACCTCAAACTGCAAAGCCTGCAGCCCCACCAACAGCGAAACTCGCTGCTCACAAACAAAGAAGCAGTCAGACAGGCGGGCAGGAAAACAAGCCAGCGAACAAACAAACAAACAAACAAGCAGAAGCGAGCAAGCCAGCCAGTCAGCCAGCAGGCGAGGAAGCAAACAAACAACAACACAAACAACGCAGAACAAAGCCAAACCAAACAAAACACACAAATCACAAAAGCACACCACAAAAAAAAAAAACACATTGAGCAAGGTAAAAAAAGGAGAGACAGACAGAAAGACAGACAGAAAGACAGAAAGACAGGAAGACAGAAAGACAGGCAGACGATGGAAAAACATACATACCAGACAGAAAATAACAAAACAAACCAAGCAACCATACACACAAACACAACGCAAACACAAACACTACGCAAACACAAACACAACACAAAGGTACACATGCAACACAAGCGCACCCAACGCATACCAACAAGCGTAAAACTATTACTCATACAGAGAAAAACACATTCGTCATATTATGACGTGTATGCCTTAGACGCAAACACATGCACGCACACAACAGGGAACCAGCAACAATACCAACCCCAACACTTCGCAGCAGCCATACCCACACTCACACCTCCACACACATACCACAGCATACACCAGAACGCAACACCGCATAGCATACAACAAGCATAGCGGGCGCAACAGCACATCGCAACACTCAAACCACACCAACCCACGCCGCCACAACTCAACAAGACACAACATTTCAACACAACATTTCAACAGAACATTTCAACACAACACAACACATACCTATCAAACCAACATCGAACAAACATGCCTCACTTGTCAGTGTATGTCTGCCCGTGACCCTGCAGGGACTAGCACCTCGTGTGCAGCTGAATCGCTCTCACCGCCTCACCAATAGCAGAGAGAATTGAAGGTGTATGGTCTACGCTGTCACACAAACCGGGCACGCCCGCAGCAATAAGATGGCTACTGTCGGCTTGCCTTGCATCAGGCCAATTGAGCTTGAACTAAGGCGTCGCGCTGGCTCGTCTTCTCTCCTGACAGCTCAAATGATAAAGCTTGCTTCAAGGTGCCGCTCATTATGGCTCGTAGACGGGGTCAGCTAAGTTGGATGAAATCCGTGTGTAAGCCACCCCGAACCATCAACTCAGAAGCTGGGTTTCGCAGACTCCGCGGAACCTGAAACTTCGGGGGTCCCGGCAGCTTCATCGCCTCCTTAATGCTCGCCCGCACGGCCAGCACCGCCTGCGCGCACGGGACGCTTCAAAGTTCTCGCTAGGAACCCAAAGTGGACGGGGAAGCGCTCTTGTGGTTCATGTGCGCTTATGTGCCATGTCATGACAATATATTTTGATGCTGGCGATTTGCTTGAATTGTGCAAAGAGAGGTGGAATCTGTAAAGTACCCTCCCTGTTTCAACTACTGCCCACAAAGGGTGCGACAGGTAAATGCACAGCATTGCACAGCGCCTAATTCAAGGAAGCAGGTCATGTCTCCAACGTATCCTCTGAAATACCCCGAAGTGGCATCTCAGGTAGAACCATACGTGAACATGGAGTTCTTTAGAAGGTGTTGAGAGGGGAATATGGGCTTTCCGCCCAACCCCAACCCCGAATAATCACTTGAGCCTGAACCACTCAAGTGATTAACTAATCTACCTGCAAGGGAGCCTGTCAAGCATGATCCTGAGCAGCATCTACCACCCAAGGCACACAAATGTCTTGCTCTCCCTCCAGCTGCCAGGCCACCAAATATTGGGCACAGACCACGCATGCCGAAAGGAAACTAAGAACACCCAGCTTCTTCAATCTAACAGACGCGTGGGTCGTAATGTCTTGCAGCCAGAAACCAAATTATCCACATGAGTTCCACCGTGTTCCACCCAAAGCGCGTTGAATTGACACAGTTCATACAGGACTCTCATTTCCCTGACATGTCCAGTGAAGACAATCACTTGATTCAACACCCGGTTTCAAAATGGTCATGCAAAGCATCCAAGCAGCTGATGTCCTCTCCCGTCTTATTCAAGAAGGACATCCTCAAAGAACTCAAACGCGGAAAAAAAAGGGAACACAAAAAGGAAAAACAAAAAGGAAAAACAAACGGAAAAAAAAAAAAAAGGCAAAAAACAAAAACGGATGTCCCGTATTTCCAGGGGCTCCCACCTTCTTCCAGTTCCCACCCGCCCGCCGCCGTGAGTGGCTTCCTCCGGCTCGCCTCCATGGCGCGGTCAAAGGGCAGCCCCGCGCCCTCCGCGCGGTCGTCCCCCAGGAGGCTCAGCTCCCAGCCCAGGAGCTGCCAAGCCACCCGCTGGGCTCAGAAAAATTGATCAGATGTTCCCAACAGCACAGGGAGGTCATTGACCCATTCCCGGGGAAACAAAATCGGGCGAGTGAAGAATCGCTTCGGTTTGTGTGGCTTGCTTGAAAACTCCTTTTTTTGTGTCCCTTGACACACTGCCCCGAAAGCAAAATCGGCCCACGCGGTCAGGTGTCAGGGGCACAGGGGTTGGACACTCCGCCTTTGCTTCAGCGGCTTGGGTCTGAAGCAAAGGATCACCACCGCCAGCCTTGACTGCTGTGATGTGTTCATCGGACTCGTCAGTGCCCATGCCTGACATGATCTTCTCTCGCAGCAATGCAAAGGAGAGAGGCGACTGGCTCGGTGTCCTGTTCACCCTTGTTGCGGGGAACCAAAGATGTGTGCCCAATGAGGAAGCTTCTTCGTGCTTATAATTGTCCGTACAATTTCACAAGCCATTTTGGGCCTGCCTGTGTTTGTCTCAAACTTGGGGGATCCCCAAAATGTGTTAAATCTCCAACCATAGGTCGCCTTTCGGAAGGAAAAAAAACATGATGGCCCTGGTAAATGGAATATACCCCATCTAAACCCGTGCCATCTATCTTTAACCTAACCTTTCAAAGCCAGACACCTGCGCCATCCAAGGGATCAAATCACCCGCCTGCCGGCCCAGAGCCCAAGCGCAGGGACAGGAAGCTGCGCTCAGGGCCTTTCAGTCGGGCGGATCGCGGGCTCTGATTCCAAGCGCCGCGTGAGGAACAGGGCCCCGATTGGGGTCAGAGCACATCCTTGCAAGGCGCTTGGATTCTAAGGCTTCGTTGAACGGATCCTTTAGCCATGGCTTCATCCGCCCATGGTTGAAGCGTCCGCGTCCTTCTGTTTTAGTTCTTCTTCTTGTGCACGGGTCTGGTTGCTTTTTCAAGCCTTGCCCAATCCGGCCTCCAAACCGTGGAACCCACCGCCAAGAATCAAGGGGTGTCCTAAAGGGTCTATGTAGGGAAATCAGAAAATGGACACCTCCTTGTTGGAATCCGCTCAATGGGAAAATCCATCGTCTGTGATTGTTCTTTTTGCGGAACCAATTTTGGGGTCAAACCCGGCTGGCAAGTGTGCTCTGCGTTTATTTATGATCTTGCAAAAGCTTCGGACCACTTCTGAACGGTTGGCGCATACAAGCAAGGGACACCAATCTAAAGAGTAGACGGTAGCTCCGGCACATTGCCAAGCCGGGCAACGTCCAGAAAACGGCGTGGCAACATCCTTTCTCAGCCCCTTGGCTTGGCAATATCCTTTTTGGTTTTGGGTTGTATCGCCAATGCTCATGCGGTCTCCTGAGCTACCACCTTGCTATCTGCCTGAGAACCTCGCAGCGGGAGGTTTCCACATGCCCGCGCCAAAGATAAGGAAGCACGGTCAAGCTTTTCCAACACATGGCTGTGGCTCAAACAAATGGAGCCCAAAATGGCACTGGCAAATGGAACCAAAGACTAAAACACCTGCGGTTTTGCCCTAGCTCTTCAACTTTGAGCCACACCCACATGTACCCTGACCCACATAAGAACGCCGTTTGACAATCTGAGGTCTGGCGGGCGGCGGCCTTTGATTGCACGAGGTCTCAGCTGAATCCCTCGCTAGTGGACACCTACAAAATCTTGCTGCAGTCAGCCCAATAAAGTGCCACCACAAGTCCTCAGACTCCGACAGAGAGCAGCCAACGCAAAAAGGATCTCGACCTCGACGAAATGCATCCGGACAACCCATTTTCTGGGATTCCGTTCCGTCGAATCAGGATTGACTCAGGGCTGCTTAGGGTTGGATGCCGGAACTTACCACTCGCGAAACACTCAGGCTTGCAGAGGTGTTGCTCTCAAGGAGATTGCTTGCAGACTAGGCAGCCACTCTGCCAGGCAGCTAGCCAAACCCATCAACCAATGAAAACGCTAAGCTCCGGCTTGGCGGGGCTAGTAACAAGGGAAAAAGCCAACGGTTCTGGCTTTTCCGCACAGCACATAAGGGCCTGGCTGCTCTAAAGATAGTCACCCCACCAGTTCGCACAGCAGTCCTGGCAAGCTCCAGCGTCCGAAGAGAGTCAAAACCAGTGACCATTTGGGCTTTTGAGAGGCGGCCATGAAACTAGATACCTTCCCACCGATTAACATGGAACCTGACCTTCGGGGCTCCCTTTAAACGGAGAACGGTCCAAACCAGGACCCCTGAAAACGGGTTCCGGGTTCCAAGTAAAAAAAAAGAAAGGCGGCGGGTAAGGAGGCCATGGGCCGATCTTTGAGGCCTTTGGCTTCAGCGAATGGCTCAAAGTTCGAGTCGTCCTCGAGCCCAGCAGGTCCATTTTGGAGGCCGTGCCTCAGCGAAATGAAGCTGAATAGGTTGAATAGGCATAGGCTCATGGATGGCCACCAGCGAAGCGACAGGCAGGGAACCGAGTCCGGGTGTTGGGAATGAACCGGAAGGGGAGTCCCTCAAAGGAATCCATAGAGGATGGTTTAGAGGGGTCATTCCAACTCATTCCCTGCTGAGAACCAGCAAGTTTAAGACGATAGAAGACACGCGCCTCAAAACACATTTCATCCTTGACAGCAGCACATGGCGCGCACTAAAATTCCGCAGTCCGCTTCATGTCAATGTGGGGTCGCGCTGCTTCTTGTAGTTCATAGCCAAAGAGCGTTTGCAACAGGATGGGAGTCTTCCGAAACCCTCCACTTCCACAATTGGAGAAAAGGACACTCAACACACAAACAGTTGCATATTCATCAGCGTTGTGTTTGTGTTTAAGTCTCAGGACAGCGTGTTGGACATAGCGCCAAGCACACAAAGCGTCAGCGGGTGGCCTAGCAAGCTTGATCAGCAACTGTATGTTTCCCATCCTAGAGGCTCAATATGTCATTAGACGCAACAATGCGTTGTTTTCACCCATGCAGCTGTTGTCTTCGTGGATCATCAACGTGTTGCAGGATTGATAACGATGTCTGCATGAGCAAGCTTGCATCGTGCATCGATCTATATAAGGAGCATGCTATGGTACTGTTTTAGTCAAAGGCTGCGCCATATGTTGCAACTCACTATATACTTTACTACCTGTTATCTACAAAGCAAAAGCACCTGCGCCACAAACTCCAGGCCGCCCAGCAGAAGAAGTCGTCTCCATGATTCACATGGCAAGGGAAGCCTCAAGCATTCAACCGGCTGGTGCATGTGCGCCTTCGTGCGGTTCATTTGGCCTCTTCGTTTGTCAGCCAACGCTAAACCGACCACAACCAGCGCAACCGTAAAACCACCCTAAACAACCCTGACCCCCCTGAGCCAACCCCACACAAACAAAATGGTGAGGGCTCACCCTAATCCCCCTACACCAACCCTTTAGCCTACTCTATCCCACCATACAACCAAGCCAACCCCGAACCCACCTCAAACCTATCTGAAACCCGCTTGCCATTGCAAACAATCTTACAACCTAGATTCGGAATCCGCCAACAAGTAAGACTTGAAGATCGGCGACAACAACTCTGGCAGGTCGCCTACAGGATTGCGAACTTCAAGTACTCCTTGTACCAGTTGCTGTTTCTCCTGGCAAAATGATTCAAATCCTCAACGAGTCCTACATGGGTCACGGTAACGGCATCGCTCTATATGCAACCCCGTGCCCGGCAAATCGCTCAGAAAGTACCAAAAACCATCAGCTCAAGCAAAGCCAGGTTTCTGGCAAGAAATCAAGGTGCGCACAACCCTACACCTGCACCTAGGATTGGCAAAATTTCAAGCAGCATCATTCTGGCCAAGGGCGACACAAGCTAGTGCCAACTGTTGGCCCAAAAGGGGGCTCACATCCTTGCCGCATGTAATTCCGCCAGCTGCTTCTCGCCTCATCTGCAGAGGTGTTCCGCTCCGGGAGGAAGAAGGTGAGTTGATACGGCGAGCTGGGTCGAGCCTTCAGGCGCAAGAGTTCTTGCATTGGGATGGCCAGGAACGCTGGCATGAAGAAGAACATAACAAAATCAACCACGAAAAAAGAAAAAGAAAAAAAGAATCAGCAACACCGAATATTAAAGGTTCAACAATATGTACTAACAATATGCACAAGCAACATGAAGTTGTTTCAACAAGATTGGACATCGTGCAAGGTCAAAGCTCAAACATGATCCATCAACGTCAATCACAGACCATTAAGACTCACAAGGCCTTGCAACATTCCCCAAAAATCACCGCTGAAATGTCGGTGCAGCAGTGCGGCAGACCGAATCGGCAAGTGGTCCGCATGCTCAGCAGCTGGCCATTTGCACCCCATCGAAGTCAATGAGCCAACTCCCCATGCTAAACCTGCCGCACGCCCGGGCAAGTTAAGGCTTCTGCAACTTCCATTTGGTTGAGGCCGCAGGAAAAACTAAAACATATTTCCAGTAGTGATGAGCTCCTTTTAAAACCAACAAGGCAAAATAAAAGATATTCTTAAGCAAATGGAGGGCAAATGAAGCCAGCAACCGGCTTTCTGCTTGCTGTGCCGCATTCCTGTGAGCAACTGGACACATCCAGCCCAGGGCCACCACCTTCACTGCACCTGAAGTTGGGCTACTCAAAATAGAGGCTTGGCCGATTCATAATCTTTAGGGGAAGCCCGCCTTCATGGGCGCGGGGTTCCTTTCAAGCCATCTTGCGGCTTGCCCCGTCCGGACTCCTCGTGACGACACAACGCGGCTGGGGCCGCGGCGCGTAGCAAATGCTCGCGGAGGGGGTGGCCCCAGCCAGCACGGGAGGCCGCAAAGGCGAAGGGCCCGCGGAGACGGCCAGCCTACGAGTCACGGAGGAGCTTGGTCAGCTGCAAAAAATGCTATTTGTTCTGGCTGCGCTTCTCTCATTCTTTCCAGGATCTTGTTCCAAAAGAACGATGGTTGAAAGGAATGGGGTGTCAACTTCTAGAATTATAGCTGTTTGAACATGGATGTGTCTTTTTCTGAAGCCTTTTGAGGTTGCTTCAAAGGAAGAGCAAAGTCCGCGCAAGCCTTTGGTCTCCCACTTTGCGACAAAGCCACGTGACGCCGAAACTGTGGTTCAAGCAGGGAACAAGGCAGCTCGCTATAGGCATGTATTGTGAAAGTTTGCCGACTGTCGACTGAGGACTGCCGTAATTCAATTCCCCGAAAGCTGGCAATACTCATACTTACAAACACTACCCTTCCAACGTAGCACCTGTGGGAGGGTACCTAATCAGTTTCCTCTTCAAGGAACCCCCTGGGTAAGGTGGCTGTCATTCAACAAGAAGCGAACAGCAGCAATCTGAGCCGGATGCTCATGGACAACCTCCGGTCGAAAGCATGCCTGGAGCGAGCATTCTGCAATCAGCCAGCTGAAACTAAATGGCACACATCATGACAAATTCACAAACCGAACATCAGGACAAAGGAAATCTCGCGCCGGAACTTGTAAACCAGTTTGCATCCTTTTGAGGGATCCATCCATGGACAAATCGGCACGAGCAGAGAATGCGAGTATCTCAGATGGTATCCCGACGGTTTTCAAGGTGTGAAAGCAAGCCACAAACCAACCTCGGTGCAGTCCCTTGCAGACAGCACGTGTTCAGATTTCGCCAGAATAACATTGTGGTTAGTTAAGTGACCCCCCATGCTCATGGCGTGTTGGATGATAGACCATGGCGTCCTCTTGTCAGAATCAGTAGTATTGATTTGTAAGAAAAACACATTAACTTATGTTGTTTCCTTACGTCCTTGGAGGCAACATGAAGCAAGGCCAAACAACAAACAACACGAGCGCACATAGCAACATGACATGGTCACAGTAGGGTGGTCCACATTCCCCAGCCGCCTGGGCCCAGTGAGGCGCTTTGCAATCTGGGAAGGTGTCAATAGGAATCAGCTCTCTCATGGATGTTGGTTCATATCCCTCAGAAAGGGTCCGAATTATTATATTGTCTTGGGACTTCTAAAGGCACATGGACCCATAAACGCTCCCCTCAATTCCATTTAAAAGGCGGAGGGGATATTCCCAGAAAGGTCCTTGCCTCTGTCCACGGTTGACCCCTCAAAACCCTCCCAAGTGTCCAGCCAGCCCAGTGCTTCGAGCAACCATTAACCATCATAGTCTCTTGCAGGCAACCACGGCTCTTTCCCTTTGCCTGACATGTTGTTTTTTGCTCAAAATAGGGTGGTTTGCTTCTGGTTCTAGCTAAAACACGGCAAACAACGGTGCCCGCTCAAAACGACCTGCCCTCAGCATGCTCCATGGTGACCTGCAAAAAAACTGGGGCCGCACGCCGCAGCGTACTCAGAGAGCTTGCCCTGGCCCCAAGTTAAGACGCCCCCAGCTGAGTGGCTTGGGGCCATATTAGAAGATGTGTACTTCAACTTCGGATTGGTGGGCACTGGGGCTTTGATTTTTTCAGTTCCTCTTGAAACCAATGGGAAAAATCGGATTTGTCTTTTCCTCTTGAAACCAGATTGGGAAAAATCCCCAAACCTCCAAACCACCAACGCAAACCACCCATGAGGGGCACGAGTAGCATTGAAGACTCCAAGAGCGCAACTGTTGGATTCAGGGTGAAGAGATCCCAAAACAATAGAACACCCCCTATGCCACTTGAAAGCTAGGCTACTCATGCTGTTCTGCTTCTCCTTTCGTGCTTTGCAAACTCAGCTGGTGTAGTATGCAAGTTCAGCACCCTTGCAGTATGCGAGCTGCTCAGGATGCTGCATTCATAGCGAACATACTTCTCTGGTTTGCTTTAGACTTTAGACTGCTGTCAAGTGCAGTGCTTGCAGGTGCTCTCAGCGCTGCTTGTGTTGTGTGCTTGCATCTTCCAAGTCGTCGCTTCCGTTCGCCGGTTTTGGGCATGCTTGCTGGCTTTCTGGCCCGCTTGGCTGCCGGCCTGATCTCAAATGCTCCTTTGCTTACGAAGCCACCGCTGCGATGCTACAAGTTTAATGTGTCACTGCGCATTGGTTGACATTGACCCTATTTTGCTGGCACCGAGTTGTATTGTCTACATTGTCAAGTCATATAATATAATGTCATGTCGCGTCACGCGGTGTGTGTGTGTGTGTGGCTAGTTAACAAATTGTTTTGTAAAGCGTTGGCAAACTGCATCATCCTATCATCTGTGATTCTAGCTTCACTTTCGTCCTGATGGTCTCAACCAGCCTGACGGAAATGCCCGAGATTGTAGACACAAGGGAACCCAGTGACCAATTGGTTGTTGTCGGCTACTGAAGCATGTCATGCTGAGTCAGGTGAATCCTTGGGCGAATCAGGCAAGTGTATGACATACTGCCTAACATGCCCACCTTTCGCCACTCCTACACTCCAGCTGGTCATTTCAAGGAGCTACGTGCTTTTGCAGAGCCATGAGAAAGTTCACTTGGGACCTAGGAAGTTTAATACCCATGGAACATATCCAAAAAACACGTAATTCGGCGTATGCCGGGCATGGATTTCAAGTGAGCATGTTGCCTTTGGTGGATATCGTCTAAAAGTTTCCATGGGGATGGTTGCGAATGTTGAACATGTCCAACCATAAAAATGAATCTCCTTGGAGCCCAGCGCCTTGCGGGTGAGGTGCTGGGGCACCTTGCCCGAGAGCTTCTGAACCAGCTCAGGGAGCCTGAGCGATAGTGTGATGCCGAGTCAAATTCACTTCACCTGGTAAGGTGTCCGCTCAAAACTATTGGGAAAGAATCAACTGGGTGGACATACGAATGTATTCATGGCCAGGACTGTCACCCACGAACCTTCCATTCCCCTTTGCTGTTTCAGTCTGTTCAGGTGGGAATGCTGCAATGGCTGCAAGTCTCCATGTCCTCATAAACAATAAATGCACCGGCAAATACCAGTACAGCACAACAAGTGTAACATGAGCAATGCAAATCTGCCAAGAGAGATGAAACACAAATCCCGGCGGCGGCATTCAGCGACACCCAACGCGATGACTGACTATGACCATACGCCTGTGAGGACAGCAAGTTGGTGAATCACAGCGACTTGCCGGCGAGCTGGCGCTGTCTGGACTGCGTTTTGGAGGCCGCCGGCTGACTATCCGTCCACAGCTAGGTATGTGTGGCTGACAGGCACACGGCAGCATACAGCATGATCAACCAAAAAGGCCTCGAGCAGCTGATTTGTTGTGCAGCAATCAATATGGTGCGACGTGTTCATTGCGTGTTGGCATGCGCATGCGTCTTCCATCGCACTTTGAGTTCCAACACTTCTTTGGAATGTGCACCTTGAACCTCCAACATGGCCAATACAAGGCCCGTGTTCTTTGCATAGCTATTACCACGCATTTGGGGTATGCTTGTAGGATCTTGGAATAAGGCGGGCATGCAGCACCTCGGTTTCTGGAACCATCTGTGTCTTGGTTGCACGGTCTCTAGAACCATCAGATCAAGTGGCCAGAGTTCATGGGCTTTCTTGGGCTCAGTGACAACAATAAACAAAACTGTTTACTGAAATCCACACTTCGCCTGCTGGTTCGATAGGCAGGAAATGAGAAATGGAATGACAAAAAGAGAGAAACCATACCCCGATGTGGTTTCCTTTAAGGAAATCCCTAGGCTCATTTCCAACAATCCATCCGATTTGGTTTCCATTAAAGGAATCCCCTTCCGGTTCATGTCCAAAATCCTGGAGCTCAAAAATCAGAAGCTGAGATCGACCAGCTCTGTGCTTGCCCCGAAGGTAAAGTATTGAAGCTGATTTTCGTACCTGTCCGGGCATGCCCATGGGCAACTCAAACGCCGGCCCTGCCTCTCAATGCTGACCCCTCCAGTGTCCTGCAAAGGATGAGATGCTATCAAAGTGTGGGGAGAAAGGTTGGACCCTGTTTGGGTGGCAGCCTTGAACAAGGGCTCTCTGAACATTCAACTACGAGTGTGAGACAGGAAAAACCGTCGGGGCCCGTCCTGAACCACGCCCAAACAGCTCCCCGGCAAATGGCTGCAAACATGATGGTTTTTTGGATCCTCGAGTAAAACCAGAAGTCTGTAAACCAGAACCTGAATAACACTGATGCAAGAGCCTTCGTGCATGAGGTTTGGGTTGGGAACATCCCTAATAAACCCGTGCGTTGTGGGGGTTCCAAGAGACCTCACATCTGCAGAGAAAAGGTTCCCACATACTTTGTCCAATCTGTCCAATAGATGCAACAATGCACGAATGTGCCATCATCATTTGCCATGTCTACGCACGTTTCTTTATGTCTTCCGCACCAACCACACAAGCCCGTGTGGCATCCCCAACAGCCGGACACCCTACCCGCACCAAACAAAAACAGCTTCCAACTCCCAGCTTCCCAGCTTCCAACCAGCTTCCAACCAGCTTCCCAGCTTCCCAGCGTCCCCGTCCGCGGCAACGGGCAGCTTGGCCACCATCACACGCTGGTGGACCTTGCGCCCCTTCACCGGCAGGGAGTTCACCGCACAGAGCATCTCGTCGCGGGCCTCCGCGAGCGGCCGTGCCGGGCGCAAAATGTCTTGCATCCAAGGGTTGGCCTTTTGACCCCATTTTGGAAAATAAAGGGAACTGCCGTTGAGGGGTTCTACACTTCTAGCGTTTTTTCTTGCCAATCTTCCTAAAACGAGGAAGTCAAAGAAAAAATCGGGGGATCTGTATCGCCACAACACACAGAACTAGAGCACCTCAACCTAAGCCAAAGCGCCATCAAGTCGCGCATCTCAGTTGCAACTCCGCAGGCCTTCTTCCAAGGAAGCCGCTTGCCGGTCGACTCTTCCTCGCCTGTCTGGCACCAAACGGGGTCTTTTGACGCATGGGGATTACCTCATTGAGGACATGACAAAGCCAAATCAAATCACCCTTTCAACGGTGGCTCGCCTGTGTTGCTTGGTAAAACCAAAACTGAGCGGGAGGGACCTACTTCCGGACACAATGGCACCCTCAGTGGCCCCAAATATTGAAACTCTCCATTCAGACCACATGTCAATTGTCTGAACATACCCCTTCTGTGATCTGCACGCCGTAATAGTGCCACAATAAGCTATGAACATCTCTGAATATTGCCCAACATAGGCCCTGTCTGCAAATCTACATGCCGGAACCATTCAGACATGTGACAGTGGGCCTGACACTATCTCATCGTCATCCTTGTCATCCTCGTCATCCTCGAATTCCTCGTCCTCGCCCTCCTCATCTCCCTCTTCTGCGCTCTCTTCATCGTCTTCCTCCTGCTGGTGGCTAGTTGTTCATGACTAGGCACACCCCGTTGTTGGGGGTTGCTCATGTATACTTCAACAACATACAACTTAAAATCGATAACGCGATGACGGCGCCTAGTTTTGCCTCAGCACAACTCCATTTGTCACCCACTTCTCAAACAAGCCCTTCCCCATTTTGTTCAAGAGGTCAAACACCAAATGGAGCCACCAGCCAGCTGCACTGCCCACTCCTCCTCGTCGGATTCCTGCAAGTGCAAACGCGTCAAAATGCGAAGCGCAGGAAGGACTGTTCTTCAATACAAAAACATGTTGCCGCAGTTTCCATTGAAATAAGTAGGAGACCACTGGCTTCCGGTTGAGCTTTCCGTGAGTGAAGTCACTTGAGCTCTTCGACACTGCATACGTCCGCGGCCTGTTTGGCAATCTGGGAAGGAAGTCCGAAATTAAAGCAAACGTTTTAACCCAACGGACATGACCATCGCAAGTTGCTGCACAGTCAAACTTGAAGGCGGCAAACAAACAAACAATACTGCACCAGTTCAAGCAGGGTGTGCTCTTGCACAATGCAAACTGCAGAAACTACGCAGACTCTTCAAGCACGTCTCTGCCATGAGCGTTTTCGCCCCCAGGAAAAAACCAACCAAGATGTCCAGTAGTGAAATCGATTCCCGCTAAAGCCAATAGTGGAAATAACAAATATTCATTTCAGCAAATGGAAGATCTGGTTGGTTCCAGAAGACTCCTCGTCCAGGGCGTCCAGCTCGTCTCGCAGGTCAACCGCGTCAATGTTCAGCAAAACCTCCTTGGTCTCATCCACTGGATGATCAAAGGAGAGCGCCTGAGGGAGTGATACAAGGGCGCAAGCAAATGCCGCAAACGGCAAGCAAAGAACGCAATCAGACCCAGCAATACCAATGCACGCGCGCACACACACACACACACACAAACGGATCTCAAACATACAATCACCCACACACACACACACACACACACAAACATGCAATCTCGCACACAATATATGGCAAACAAACACACACGCCTTTCCAAAGCTCGCACCAGCTTTGGTAGCCCCTTTCTTGGACCATCAAAAGGCAGTCGCATGCAAGTGCGCAACTCCGGTCGCTACATGGCCGCATATTTGCTCAGCCATGTGAAAGTGTGTCAACGACCATAGTTAGTTTATTTTACATCTGGATTCCTGATAAGCACAACAAATAATCCCTAGATACAAATCGCTGACACATTCGGGACCTTCATGTTGGCCGTGTCGACATATAACGGCTGTCCTTGTGCAAAATGCTCGCTTTTATTGCACACGTTTGGCCACTAGGAATCATACGGCAGGAGGGCAAACATAAAATGAAGTCGAAATGTGTCCTAACCTTCAGAGCATCGCAGCCTGGTGAAAGGTATCCCAAGAAGAGTCAATCTGCCAGCTCTTCAACCTGCGTTGCGACCAACCCCACCTCCTCGCTCTCGCTCTTGCCGTAGGACACGCTGCTTCCAGTGGGGCGCTTGGACTTGGAAGGCCCGCGCATCTGATCCAAGAACCGCCGGCCGACCAGAAGCTGATCGCCTGGGAGAAAGAAACCGTGAGTATCCGTGAGTTACTGTGGATGGACGAAGCCATTTTGCACCACCTAAGGAACCCTGGAATGAGGATTCCCCTGTAAAATGCCAACAAACTATGGCTTTCCATGGTTTCGAAGTGGTGCAGGGTTTCGTCCATCCACAGAATGAGCTGTGTTCCGTCAACATCCAGTGGCACCTCAAGTCAGCACCCTTCGAAAGACCAAACAGGCGGCACTGACAATGTCTTAGGCGCTTCTACTTTGAGTGTGTTGTTGTTCGAATACACTGGCAGCTACTAGTAGTGGCTTGAATGATTGAAATCGACAAATCTTGCTTGGCTGCTCCAAACCGTGCAATGCCACTTGCTGCAGCCTGTTGTGGCCTGAACGTGCTTGATTCCAGTCGGCTACCATGATTTGAAGCCACTTGAGCTGGAAAAAAAAACCGTATTAAAACTCTTATCCCAGGATGTTTTCATTGCAAATCCAAGCGGCGGTCTTCATAAGAGTGAGGTCCCACAAAAACATGCCCCTTAAGTTTATGAGGTCTCAGGTGTGTACACCGCTGCAAATTGTTGCTGGCTGCTGCTGCTGGCTGCTGCTGCTGCTGCTGGCTGCTGCTGGCTGCTGCTGCGGCTGCTGCTGCTGGCTGCTGCTGCTGCTGCTGGCTGCTGGCTGCTGCTGGCTGCTGCTGCTGCTGCTGCTGGCTGCTGCGGCTGCTGCTGGCTGCTGCTGCTGCGGCTGCTGCTGCTGGCTGCTGCTGCTGCTGGCTGCTGCAACTCATTGCTGGGATCTGCAGAAACAAAGAAAATGCAAACTACAGAAATGGGCCACTCCTGATCCAAGGCATCTACGACTTGCGCGCGACTTGCGCGCGACTTGCGCGCGACTTGCGCGAAAATTTAGCAATCTTCCGGATTCTTTCGACCATGCGGATGATGATGATGATGATGATGATGATGATGATGATGATGATGATGATGATGATGATGATGATGATGATCATCACTGCGTCACTTGCGCTTCACTTGCGCTTTACTTGCGCGGCCCCATGTTTGACTTGCGCGGCCGCTCCTGCAACACACTCCTGCCATTCAAATTACAAGCGGCGGTGCAGCTGATTTGATAGGTCCAAAAGACCTGGGATCATGCCTTACATTGACACATACAACGTTTTTTTTTTTTTTTTTTTTTTCCGACTCACTTGTTTTGCTTAGAGCGTGCACTCGAAACGGGGCTGGTTGCTGCAGCAGTCCCGGTGGCGCCAATTCATGGTCTTAAAGCTATCTGAGATAACTAGGGCTGAACATTTGTCAAAATCATGTTACTATCTCATCAGCTTGATCAAAACAAACCTACGCACCTAGCAGCTGACTGAATCCAACAGTGGCTTTGAGAACCCTGGGCTTTGGGGTGGTTCTGCACCCATTGGCTTCGGCAAAGTGTAGCCTCATGGGAATGTACCAGAGCCCTGCCAAAATAGCTCTGGCACTTCGGCAACTGGGCGTTCCCTCAAAACCAAATTCTGTTCTCTGGTGGCTTTACCTTTTCCCCTTTGACTCCATCCAAAATGTGGTTTGTGACAGGAAAACCAAGAAACCATTAAATACCTGGAAGGGTCCCTTTGAAGAAACATCCATGGCTTCACTTTCAGCTTTCCTTAAACCGGAACCATACCGATTTTGGGGGGTTCCCCTACGACACCAAAGGCCATCCAAGGCACAAAAGGCCGCTGCCAGCAATGCCCGCAGCGTGTCCGCGTTTGTACGCAGAAAACGCGTTGCGCGCACGTCATCCCCGTGGAGGAAGGCCAGCAGAGAGTCTGAGCTCGGAGTGGTGGGTACCCAGTTTGGGGTTGGTTTATAGGAAAACCCGCCACCATTTTGGGGTCCCTTATGTTAAGAAACATCCAATTTGTTATCGGTGTTCCATCCCGCAGGGCCAAAACATGCTAGCCTGACTTGCGATTTTCTGCAGTGGTTAGTTGTTGACGGTTCCAAAGGGCGACCAACAACTCCGCTTGGATGTTGTTTTTCTGGTGAAATAAAAGCATACAAGCAACACAATGCACAAAGAAAATGAAAGGAATCTCCTTGTCGAAAACCCATTTGGGCTACTCTCCAGTGCGCTGGGCCTGTTCTGGTACATGACAGAAAAACAGGTCCCTGGAGAGGGGATATTGAGTATTCCAATAAGATGGCTGGAATTCCCTCACAACTTGGCTGGCGGCTTGAACACCCACCTGCTGCGTCCCCCCAGGGCTTCAACGCAGCTTGACATGCTCCACATCAAGACAACCCTCGCAATGCACGCCATTCCCCGCGCCATGCCCCTTGCGTCACTAACGCCACACCGGCAGGTTCCCAGCAAAGCCTCAAGCTTCTGCGTGTGGGAGCCGAACGCGCTGCAGCATGCGCTTGTCCACAGGCCACAAGTTCCGTGGAGGCCGCGCGTCTTGGGCACGGCCCCCGAGCCAAAATGCTCGTGATGCTGTTGATCACCGTACCAGGTTCACGGTCCTTCGCTTGCAGGAATTGAGTGGCGCCCAGCCCCAGTCGAGGTGGGAGGTAGGCAAGCGCAAGGCAAGCGTGTGAGCATGAGGCAAGCAAGTGGCCAAAATGCAGGGCCGAGATGCGGATGTTCCAAGACTACACAGGATTCGCAGGCACGCGTCAGTATGAAGCCCCGTTGCGCTGAGCAGTTGGGCCATCTAATTGTTTCTTGGTCGGTGTTTTCAGCAGCGCTCACTTAGCTGGCGGCGCGGCGGAAGAAGAAGGCAGGCTCGAACCCAAAGACGTCCTGGGCGGCGGCGCTGGCGGCCCGACAGCGCGCCTGGCGCGGCCTGACCGCGGCTGAGACCAAGAAGCACAAGAGACAGGTCAAGGCCGACCGCCAGCGCGTCCAGAAGAAGTTCTTTGAAGCCCACGTGATGCCCGTCTCCGATCGAGTGGGCTGCGTGCAAGCTTGTTCATCGGGCCCAGTGATGACAAGGCGCCAACGGATTGCACGCGCAGTGACACCACGCTCCAGCAAGGGCCACAAACCACGGCAGCAGCATGTGGCGCATGACAAGCTGGCGGAGATGATGAGGTCAGCCACGCACTTGCTTCCTGTTGTCCACCCCCCCCTGAAGTACATACCGCCGACTGGATGGTGTGTCCCATCCACATTGCTCATCATCCACCACCAACCAGGTCCTACAAATCCAGGGGGCGACCGGACCCTCAGCTGACGCAGCCACTCCACTGGCAGGTTTCACAAACCTGCAACAAGAGATTCCCCATGTCCCAGGTTTACAACCTGGTTTTTCGATCCTTGCCCCGGATCGGGAAGCTCCTTCTTTGGTTGTGTCAAAGCAGGTCCCCAATCACACGCTGTCTGTTCTTGTTTCTCCACTTGCAACCCCCAACAACCACAAAAACGCACCAAATTCTCACCAAATTCTCACCAAATCCTCACCAAATCCTCACCAAAAACTCACCAAACACTCACCAAAAACTCACCAAACACTCACCAAAAACCACTGACACGATCCAACTCTTTCCGGCCCTGGCGCCCAGGTCCTCCCTGGCGCGCTGGGCAGTGCGCAGGTCCCCCGGCGGCACCAGCAGCTTGGCGCGGTCCGCCAGGTCGGCCAGGGTGAGCAGCAGGCGCTGAAACCTCTCCCATTCGACCCAAATCGATTCGGTTTTGTTTTTTCTTTGTTGTTTTTTTCTTGGGAGGGGGGGGAGGGGATGGGAACTCAAGGTATGTACAGGTAAGCAAACAACCGTTTTGTTTTTCTTTTGGGAGGTGAGGGGGTGGGAACTCAAGGTAAGCAAACAAACTCTTTGTTTTTCTTTGTTTAGGAGGGGGGGAGGAGTGAGAACTCAAGGAAACCAGTTGCATGGAAAACTGACGGACACATTTGATCAGCTTTTCTGCCCCAGTTTTGGCTGTCAAGCTTCGTGTCGCTTCGTGTCCAGAGGTTGATAATTATGTTTCGCTTCGGAAAGCATGGGTCAAGGGCCAAGGCGTCAGTGAGAAAATACGCCAAAGGAGAGTCCTTGACTGGCTTTATGGTTGTTTGCGTATGGTCAGGCATGGTCACGCATGGTGAGGAACAAAAGAACATGCCCCGCAGTGGTGTATTTACACTGTTTCGAAACATTTGCTTTGAACTGTACGCCTGACACAGTTCTCCTAGTGGATTCCCAACTATAGCTATGTACTGCCTTACAAAATTATGTCGCTATTGCTTCAAGCAGAACAAACACCCGGCACGGCCTAGTGGAAATTGCGCAAAACCCAGGGGATGCGTTTGAGTCACTCGTCAAGGTGCCCGTGCTTGTCAGTCCCATCCCGCTTGAAAAGCAACCAGGGACTGACTTTGATGATGGCAAACTCACGTGGACTAGCCCAGAAACAGTCTAAGCTTCTTTTTTCCCACTTGAATGATCCTTGGAAAAAGGATCAATCCGGAAGGATCAATCCAGAAAAAAGGGTCAATCCAGATGTATCAGTCCAGAAACCTTCACTGAAACAACATCATGGCCCCGCCTCCCGGGGTGCACATCTGCGCGCTCTTCCAGGAAGTTTAAGGCCTTCTGATAGGCGGTGCGACCTACCGATGAAGCTTCATGTTGGACGCAAGTCTCCAACGAACATGTGGGCGTCCCCTCGCAATTGGCTCTCTGCAAATGGCACCTGTCTCAATTTGGTCTTCCTTTAAACACTTTGCTAAACGATGTCAGTTCGCCGGAAACAGACTTCGCCTCTTTTTGGGAACTTATGCGCCACTGTTCCTTCAAAAAGGTGCCTCATTTTGACAACCACATTTGCCATGGTTAAACGCCCCACCTTGCATGATCAAAACTCGGCTCAGATCCAAACGCTCCAGCCGGCAAGTATTTTTTCAGTGTGAGTCTTGACTGCTCGCGGGAGTGTTGCAGGACAACGACAAGATGTGTCTTGTCAGATAAGACTGGTATTGTCTGTGTGCGTGTGTGCAGCAAGAAGAGCAGCCGAAGGCTCTGTGCATCTAAAAAAGCAAAAGGCCAGGCAACAGCCAGTACGCGGGCTTTTCCACAACAAACCACAACTCCTTGACTTTAATGATGTTGAATGGATGAAACAGCTTGTGCGCATCGGTGAAACTTTCCCTGTCGCATCTGTGCAACTGAAGCAACAAAACAACTTGTCGACCGAAACGACGCGCGTTGCCTTGTTTGAACCAACCGCTCATGAAGGATCTTAAGGGATCTTCCCACCGAAAGGCCCCCATCTGCCTGGATCTTCTGAGAATTGCTGCATGGTCTCCGCCCAGAAGGCAAAAAGGCGCAACAGCCTGGGATTCGAAGCAATGAACTCAGATGACCAGTGGATTTTCTATGGGAAGAAAACGAACGGCATCCATTTTTTCGGTTGGTTGAGTTTCAAGGGGAACCCGGAACCTCCCAAAAAAAAGCAAAAAGGGCGGAATCCACTGGGCAACTGGGAATGTTTCAGCGTTACCTAGTTTACTCGTCTTCAAAAACCAGCAGTCTTCCTGGTGGCGTCTGGCGCGCCAGTGCTTGGTACTCAATGCTGCCTCTGGGCAGGTCAAGGAAGACTAGCCATTTAAGCCGATGCAACACGGCCATAACGTTCAACCAAAGAACGTGATCCACCAGCTGCTCCAGCAATCATGTTGTCTCTACTCAGGAATCAATGTCATTGGCCTTGAAACCGACATGCTGCATCAACGTGGTCATACCCTGCAGTATTGGAGGAAGTTTGCGATGCAGCACCACAGGGACATGAACATTCGCCGACTGACTGAGACAAAATACGACCCACTCAAACCAACAACGGGCAACATGATAAGCCAACAATCTGTATAAAGTGGAGGGATCTGCCATGCATTGTCGAACTGCAACAGAAAACTGCAGAGACCCTCCGAAAATCAAAGAAATACCGATGGAACGGATCAAAGCATGGCTGGCCTCTGGTTCAAACCTCGGGCCAAATCCAGATGGCACCTCAGCTTATTTCCAAGACGCGCACTAACCAACCGACCAACCCTCCAACTACCAAGGCTCCCGAGGGGATGGAGGAGGGAAACGGAAGAGAAGAACAAGGCACATCCAAAGGCGAACATATTTTTTGGGCACATCACTTCTGCCGGATGTTTGCGGGAGCCTCCGTTCAGGTAAAACTTTTTCGGTCGGGTTCGGGTTGGTGTAAGCTTGGTTTAAAGCGAAGAACAGGGCCACAGCCACATCAGCCACTTTTCGTTTGAAGCGAAGCGGCATGATGGGCTCGGAGAAGTGTCCGCCGTCGAAGCGGCGCCGGGCCATCCAGGAGAGGCGCCTCAAGTGGCTCCAAACGAGCGCCGCGGGGCGGATCCACGTGGTGACCGGGCGTTCAGCTCAGGGGATCCCAGGCGTTGTTCGCCCGTTTTGTAGGTAACCCTGCGCTGTAAATGATCCTTTTGTTTTTTTGTTGGATCATTCCCTTGGTTCCCCTACCATACCCTGCGCTCAAATGTTCCTTCCGTTGTTTGTTTTTTTTTCCCCTTGGTTACCCTACCATACAAATGAATGGATCCACTAGGGGGTTGTTTTGTGTCAAGTGTTTTGCGTTCAATAGATTCCTCACGACGACACTTCAGAAAGGCCAAGACTGCAGAGATCAGACCAAGTGCAGTCGACCTTTAGAAATGGTTTAATGCCATCCAAGAACTGTTTGGTCATCCAGCGATTGGATCTTTCGCCCGGCTACACCCCCTTACGTGTGCAGATCGCGATCTCTTTCGACAAGCGCTTCTAGACAAAAGCGAAAACCGTTGATTTAGATCACTCCCGGGAATGAAGGGAACAGTTGGTAAACACTAAACATGTCTGCAAATAAATCCAAAGGCAAGCAATTAACCAAGGCAACGGCAAAGCGTGTCCAATCAATCGTATTAAGCGGCTGGACCCTGGCAAGGAACGCCAGGTTATCCTTCAAAAACTCTGCAAGTGTAAATTGGACATGTGCTGATGAGCTAGCCGGTAATGCAGGGAAGCAGCTGCCTTAAACTATGAAGGCTGCCTCGACGCGATGAAAAGACACTCATCGAGTCATCGACCCTAATGCGCAGACTGTGACACATACTAAGACTTCACAAATCAACCACACCTGCGATGTAAAATCCGGCAAGAGCTGCCCAACTAGCCGCTGGGGCCAAGAATTCCAGCGATCCAAGACCAATGACAAGATCTGATTGGCATATCCCCCACCGCTCAGCATCCTTTCAACAGGCCGCGGTCAATCTGTCTCAAAATCAGCTGATGGCTTCTGACATGTCTTTCAAAGGCTTCAAGGCTTTACCAGCGACAAACTGCTGTGTGTGTGCTCTCCGTCCCTTTCTCCATCTTGGCCCATGCCTGCAGAGAGGTGCTTCATATCATTCCTTTCAGTACATCGAACTATGTTTCCCAAGATCAAAGCCACTGGCTTGCGAAACTGAGCGCCTGGGAAAGGCTTTCCAGAAGGAAACATGGGGTCCCAAAAGCCGCAAGACTCGCTGGGGCTTCAAACAGGCTGGACAGGTATGCGTCGTCGCTCTCCGCATAGCTCCTGGCAGCAGGCCCCAAAAAGTCTGGATGGCTTTTCATGTTGACCTGAATCATAATCCAAACCCGGCATTAAAGTGGTCGATCCAGAACCACGTAAAGAGTTAAGAAGGCTGCCGCAGCAATTTATAATTAGATTGTCCCTTACTAACCTTCATCTACCCGCGTTTTGATTGTGGCTCACCTGAGATTGAACAAAGGGAGCCCTTCTGAAGGGAGCTTCGCCCGGGTGGGTGGGTGGGTGGGTGGGTGGATGGGTGTGGGTGGGTGGGTGGGTGGGTGGGTGGGTGGGTGGGTGGGTGGGTGGGTGGGTGGGTGGGTGGGTGGGTGGGGTGGGTGGGTGGATGGGTGGATGGGTGTGTGGGTGGGGGTGGATGGGTCGGTGGGTGGGTGGGTGGGTGGGTGGGTGGGTGAGTCGGTGGTGGGTGGGTGTGGTGGGGTTGGGTGGGGTTGGGTGGGTTGGTGGGTGCGGGTGGGTGTGGCGCGTTGGGAGGGTGTGGTGGGTGGCACAACAACACTAAAGCATACTGTCTGACGAGCAGCTTCGTGTCATGCGTGGTGAAGCGAGCAAAAAAAAAACATACTTTCTCAAAGCTCAGTGAGCGTGAGCCGCCGCAGTTCTGTGAGAGCGAATGCAGCGTTTCAGTGCGAGCGAACGCAGCAAGAAGCCGCTGCAGCTTCCTCAACATGTGAATTCCGAGGCTGCGCCGTGTCAAGCGCATCTATCTCAACTCTGAACACTGCAACGTCCCTCAATCAAGCAAGCTTTGCATCATGCGTCGCTGCGCTAGAAAAAAGCAGACTCACAGACACGCCGGAAGAGAGTTCAGATTTTTGTTCTTCAAAAAGTCGACGCCGCTACGCACCTCCATGCGGCATTGTTTGCCATCAACTATCACACGCACGGCTGGTTCAACCGTATCGAAGCTCAACGTGCTTGAGCCGCAGTTCAGTGAGAGCGAACGCAGCGTTTTCAGAAGCGTCCTCAGGCAACGTGGCAGGAGAACCCGACCCATGTTTTTATCCCCTCACAGATGCGAAGGCCGTGTCGGGCGGGCGAGGTCTTCCAGCAAAACCACGCAGAAGCCCCGCCTCTCGCCACACCGACCGCCTTAGCGAGTGTGTAAACAGAGCGTTCGAACAGAGCGCGTACACGCGTGAGTGTTAACACGCTACGGCTCGAACAGAGTAGCACGGTGTTCTCTTCGAGGGTAGGTGGGGTCTCAGTCTGGCAAGCTTCGAGGATGGCGCAGCACCTCCCCCACCTTCTCCTCCACAAGCTCCCCTGCCGCCAAAGGATGCCTGAGCTGCCATCAAACTTCAAAACTTGATGTTAACCTGATGGCTGGGACCTGCGTGCCCGCCTGCCAGTGTTCTAAAGGAGTGTCTTCTTTTCGCTCGCGGGCCCGCCTGCAGTTCCGTGAGGATCTTGGTGAGCTCGGCGTCATACACCCGTATGGCTTCTGGGTCCCGGCTGAGGCGGAAAGCGATGTCGCTTACTTTCGCCTTGTGCCCGGGCCCACCTCGCGCTCAGTGTTTTTGCTCTCCTCTCCGTGTCTCACTTCTTCTCTTTCTTGCTTGTCGCTCTGATTGCTCTGAGCTCCCGGCGCGCCAGCGGTTGCTCTGTTGCAACTGGGCGGCTGCGGTCTCTACTGCCCGCAGGCTCGGTGGCAAGACTCGCGACAGCGACCGCAACGGCACGCCGCCACGTTGAGGTGGCAGTCCTGCGCGGTAGCGGCGCTGACGGCGCTCTCGTCTGGTCTTCCCTGCCTTCTCCGGGGCAGGCCCGCTTGGCTGCTCGGAGCCGCCAAGCCGCGTTCGTGGCGGCCCATCAGCTCCGCCGCCCCCTTAAATACTAGCAAGCCAAGCTGCTTCTGCCACACCTGGGTGAGGTAGGCCAGCTGTTCTGACCTTCCTAACCTCATCTCCTGAAAGCCTGAAACCTCAATTCCTCCTGCAAGCGTCAAACCTCAACCCCTCCAACCCTCAACCAGCCTGAAAGCCTGCCGAAGCCTCTCAACGAAAGCCTTCTTACCTCACCTTCCTCCCCTCAACCCCAACCCTTCACTTCTGCCAAGTAGCTCCCTCAAGCTGCTCTGCTAGTAGTCCTCCAAGCCAGCCAGCACACCTCAGCTACGCACTCCTCAAACCCAGCTTCTCCGAAATCTACTCCCTACTCCCTCCAACCACCTCAACTCCTCAACTCTGAAACCCCAAACCTCAACCTCAACCTAAATGAAACCCTCAGCCAAGGCTCAAAGCTCAAACCTCAAGCCTCAAACACAACTCCTCCTATCCTCAACTCTGCCTCAACTCCTCACACCTCGAATCTTAAGTTGACTAAAACGGCGTTATCGTCTTTGCACTCCTTTGCGTGTGGGCGTCCGGCCTCGCATTTCATGCCCGGCCATTCGCGCACATACAGCCGCAGCAACCTAAGAACGTCGAAATCGGGTCCGACGCTTCACACGCGCTAGCGAAAAGGCCTTGGCCGGCGCAGCCATGTCAGATCGTTTGGCGCACGCATGCGACGCAAGTGGGCGGAGCTGAGCCGAAAGTGCTACGCGAGGCGCGAGGTCCGTGACGCCCCTCCTTCCCGTGGAAACTCTAGTGGAAAGATTAAAAAAAAAAGTCAAACGCGTCTCCACATGAAAATATTGCCCGGTTTTTGACTGCCCCTGGCCAGTAACGGCCCTGTTTGGAAACACCAGTGTGGAGCCTTGGAGGTTGGTGGAAAACACCATCGCCCGAGACCCGCAAAAAGCGCATTCGGTCTAGCGCCCATGAACTCGACCCAATTCTAAACAACATCGACTGGTGGAATGGTGGGTGGGTTGGGTGGGTGGGCGGGCGGGCGCGTGGGTGGGTGGGTGGGTGGGTGGGTGGGTGGTGGTGGGTGGGTGGGTGGGGGTGGGTGGGGTGGGTGGGTGGGTGGGTGGTGGTGGGTGGGTGGTGGGTGGGTGGGTGGGTGGGTGTGGGTGGGTGGGTGGGTGGGTGGGTGGTGGGTGGGTGGGTGGGTGGGTGGGGGTGGGTGGGTGGGTGGGTGGGTGGTGGGTGGGTGGTGGGTGGGTGGGGTGGGTGGGTGGGTGGGGTGGGGTGGGTGGTGGGTGGGGTGGGTGGTGGGTGGGTGGGTGGGTGGGTGGGTGGGTGGGTGGGTGGGTGGGTGGGTGGGGTGGGTGGGTGGGTGGGTGGGGTGGGGTGGGTGGGTGGGTGGGTGGGTGGGTGGGTGGGTGGGTGGGTGGGTGGGTGGGTGGGTGGGTGGGTGGGTGGGTGGGTGGGTGGGTGGGTGGGATGGGTCGGTAGGTGGGTGGGTGGTGCGGGTCGGGCGGGTCGGGTGGGTGGGGCGGGTGGGGCGGGTCGGGCGGGTCGGGCGGGTCGGGCGGGTCGGGCGGGCGGGCCTCCAAAATGCTGGAATTACCTTGCCGTTCCTGCGACCTCGCCAATCGAATCCAGAATAGGTTCAAATTGTGGGTCCCGGAAATTGCAGCAACAAGCGCACCGTGGAAGCCATAAATAGACCTTTTCGGCTCAAGCGATAGAACCGAATCTCGGCCCTTTCGCACCCCTAAACAAATACGAGTAAAATGGTGGGGGAAATGCCCTCTTCAGGTCTGGTCCCTTTGATTTTTGTTCAAAACGAATGCCAAAAAACCCACGAGAAGAGACCTTGAAGCGCCTGCTGGGGCTATTGAAGGGATCTGCGCAGCTGCACCTAAGCGAAGCGCGAACATCCCGCGGGTCAGCTTGCCTTGGGAAGAGGATTTGCTATATGGCTGTGGGTCAAAAACAGGGTAACCCCAAAATGGAACTCTGGTAAATGGAACCAAAAACTAACACCTGGGGTGCCCTGGTGATTTGATTTTGACCCATATCCATATGGCTATGGTACCCCGTACCCCCAGTGAACATCCCAATCCCCACTAAAATAGCTTCATTCACCTACCAACCAAAATGGGATCCCATTGGTGTTGACCCACGGCCATATGAAGTCTGATCACTCAACCTGCAGGCACTAAAGGCGTCTTCGGACTGCCCATGACCCCTTACTCCTCACGCGCCCCGGAGGTTCTCCTGAGGTGACCGCCCTGCAGCCATGATCAGCGCTTCCGCGGTGCAGCCCCAGAGCCTGAGTGAGTCATTGGCCGCAAGGCTCGGGGCCTTCAAGCGAGAAGACAACCCACCAAAAAGCTTAACACCGTTTGGACAGGAGACCAGCTGTGTTGTACAAAAAGTGCAAAGCAAAAACAGTTTGGACAGGAGTCCATTTGTTTTGCACCAAAAGTTCAAAAACAAAATTAGACCGGAGAAGGTTTAAATTGCTTTGAGCTTCCTCGAAAGGATACCAAAAGGCAAAGAAACCATTTAATGGGCAGCTCCCTAGTTGCGACAGCCTTCTGGAAACAGGTTGGCCGGCTCGCCACGTGAGTAACCTTCACATGGATCTGCTTCCGACTTGGTGAGGCAGATTGAGAATGCCCAAGGTCGTAACCAGAAGCACCAGCCGCTTTTCCGGGTTCTGACCCCGGCTGAGGCTGCGGCATGCCGAACCACACAAGCCGACTCAAGCCTTGGCATGGCTAGCTGACTGCAGAAGCTGAGATGGCAAGATGATGATATTTTGCCTGATTGAAAACAGCCAGTCTCAACATGCAGAATACACAGGCGGTGGCACAATGCGCATCGTCAGGTGGACACGTGCATGCTGCAGTGCAATCTTAGGCCCGATCTTGCTTCAAGCGGCAAGCCGTCCATAAACATGCCTGCGGGCCGGCTCTTACTCAGGCCACTCGAGATGGACTGTCCTTGATTGGCCTTGCCCGAAGAACATAGAAAATGCTGTCTTCGGAAAGGTGTAGAAAAGGATCGCTCAATTGCCAGGAACAGAAACAACAAACACATACGAATGACAACATAAGCTCCATCTCTACATCCCCGTGTCCTTCTGCTTCCCAACAAATACATTCATGTACCAAAACAGACATCATATTTCAGCACATGTTCGATTCTAACAAGAGCAACTCCGAAAAACTGTTGGTCTCCTCTTGCATTCCCTTCAGACACCAAGGGATTCGCCACAGTTGTAGTCCCATTACCAACATGCATCGCGCCGCTTTGTCCAAACCAGCGCGCTCCGTGAACTTGACGACGGGAACCGCATCGTACTCCGCCTCTCTCTTCCAGCCAATACAATTGCCCTAGGATTATTCGACCATATAGTTTTTTGGGGGGTCCTTGAACAAGCTTGGTTTTAAGGGCCCTGGGAAAAAGGTTATTTCATTGCAGGGTTCGGGATTTGCGCTGAAGGCGGCATAACTCGGTTGCTTTTTGCTCCCCTGCCAAAAGTTTGACTTTTAGTGGTTTCATGGAAAACCGATTAGCTGGCAAAAAGTTAACAAGCAAAATGCACCAAAGAGAAGGCTCATGAGCTGGCTTCCACGGCGGTTCCTCCGGCATTTGGCAAGCGAAGGGGGAAAACGCGGCGAAGAGGAGGCTTCGCCGCCCTCTCTGGGCATTTCCTGCGTCGAAGACCTTGCTGGGCTCGGGTGTTTTTTGCAAGCCTTGTGGCATAGCGCAATCCTTCGACATGAGGAAGGGTAGCTGTTCCTTCGAAAGGGATCTGTGGAGCGATTGAAGACCTGATGAAAATTTCATCTCGACCACATCCTCTTGACCGTCGAGCAGACAATGCCTTGATAGTCGTCTTCATCAACACACGCATAGCACTTCATATTGAGCGGAGTGTATCCCGCATGCGTTTGTCCTGACGCCTGCACCCTGCCAGCAAGGCATCGAGCCGTGGGCGCTCTGAAGTTGAAGCCGGCATTCGACGTGAAAGAATAGCTTCCAAATGGGTGTGGCTTAAAATTTAAGAGCTGGGGTTACGCAGATGTTGGTCTTTGTTTCCATTTACCCAGGGGCCATTTTGGGTACTTCTTGTTTGTTTTGAGCCACAGCCAAATCAGAACAAAGGAGATGGCCACCGATCAAAATAATCTTCGCCCACCCCGAAAGCCATACGAGGCATCTAGCTCAGAATTTGCCCCCTGAGTCGCATGGGTCATCACGTGCCAGTGGTGATGGCTCCTCAACGGGAGGGCTTGTAGTGCGATCCGAAGCACCGCTGTCGGAGTCAGAATTCTGTTGCCACTTGGAATTGTTCAACACCAGGAACATGGAACCTACCGCACATAGGCCATCAAGCAACAAAACATCAGTAACACAACTTCAAACATCCCAGTCTCAACCGGAAAAAAAAAATGCGGCCCTTGCACTTGACCCCAGACCTCGTGTCTTGTGTGGATAACTGGGCAAGCAACTGCGTAAACCATTATTGACTGCTCGCACTTGTCTACTAATTAACAGCCCTGTGCTACACGCCAGGGGAGTGCACATGAGTCATAATCAAAACCGGGTATTAAAATGGTCTACCCAGAAGCATGTAAAGAATTAAGAAGGCGGCCGCAACTAGTTATGGCTGGGAGTCTCGCTTACTAACCTCCATCTTCACAAGTTTTGATTGTGGCTCACATGAAAGGAGACCAAAACATCGAGAAACCGCGCCACGAGGGACATACTTACCTGGGCTGCCCTCAGATCCCCCGCTAAAAGTTTAACTTTTAGTGGGTTAACTGGAAAACCCATTAGTTGGCAAAACGTTAAAGTCCTAACATCCAGGCAAACTGCACCAAAGTTACGATGTGTCCTTTCTCAACTTCAGTGTGCGCCGGTTTCGAGTTACGTCCAGCAGTGCGAGCCACTCTTCAGCGACTGTCTGCCCGTGAGCGGCTTCTCAAGGCGGGAGCTAGTTCACCCTAGATCCTTCAGTGGAGAGGCCAGAAGAAGGGTACTCGTTGTTGTTTGTTTTAATTTTGTCTATTTTAGTAGGGGGAACGCTCCTCAAGAGAAGGGTAAAGGGCACTACTGGGGGAGGCTGTCTGCTTTACCCCTAGATGCCATTTTGCGGCAGCTTTCGGGAACAAGCATGAAGCCAACTTGCCGGGATTCAGCTGGCTTTGATACACAAGCACACACACACACATCAAAGGCCCAGTCACACAACCCTTGAAGAGGGTGCGAACCTAACATTGGAAACCCTCAGACTGTTGACTTCCTTTTGCCTCATGTCGAAATGCCGTCCAAAAAAGCCATCAAAAGCTCCCCAACGCGTCTTCTGACGCCAAAATCAGACATGCTCGCCTCGTTTTCTTTTCGCGCTTCGCGCCCGCCGTTCTCCGCGGAGCCAAGCTGCCCAGCTGGGCCCAATGGGAAGCCGCCCGCGCGTTGATCATTTGCCTTCGGCCTCCACAAACTTTGGCGGAGGCGTCAATTCGTCGGCGCCTCGGGCTCGAGGGGAAACAGAAGTTGAGCGAGCCGTTTCCGGTGAAGGCTTCCCAAAAACAACGCCGCAAGAAGGGGTTCCCCATTTCTAGAAACCCAACATATGTGTTTTGCTTTTTTGCGGTACCCCAAAAAACGGTGGGTCCTTTTGATTTCCCCTCAAACCCGCAAAAAAACCGTGGGAGTTTTCCCCAACAGCTGAAAACTATGGGGTCTCTGCTCAAATGGGCTCTGGGGTGGTTTGGGGCAGCTTTCAGGGAGTGTTCCAGAGGGTTCCAGGAGGCTCCGGGGCTGTTGGGGATACCACCTGGGCATAGTCTTAAAGCAGAAGACAGTAAATGGCTTAGAATGGTTGCATTCCATCTAGGTTTTTCTTGCCAAATTCCAGTAGGCTCCAACTGCTACAAAGGACACCCTGTCATTTAGCACGTCCAGCAAAGACCGTTCAGGGAGATGGTGAATCATGATTTCGGGGGGGGGGGGTGTGAGAAAACAAGATGTACATACATCCTAAAATCAGCTGGGATCCCCCCCAAAATGGGATCCTAACACCGGCCGGGATCCCCCCACAATTGGAAAGTCAATCCTAATGGGATGGTCTCCTGTTTGGCGCCCTCCCTCCCTTGTTTTCTCCCTCGGCTCGGCCAGCGGCCCGCCGTTTCGTCACCTTCTCCCAGGCCCTGGTTGGCGCCTGCCAACGGAGAGTTTGACAGGAGAAGGCGTCCAGCTTTCCCGCGGGAGGGTACCGCTTCTTCGGTGATTTAAGGAAAGGGTTCCAGTCAAAAACTAGTCTTCTGTCAGAGCTAGCTTTCAACTAATTGGTCGCCGTACCACGGAAATTCCTTCTAAACCTCCTTTGGCTACATGCATTGCATTTTCTGTCCCAAACTCGCATCTGGATGTTCAGAGGGCCCTTATTCAAGGCTTAGAATTGAGCCACCCCAAAAAGGGTCCGACCTTTATCCCCACACTTTGATGGTATGCTGGGGGGTGATTCTCCATTCTGTTTAACCATCGTTCTTTGCAAAAACCGCATCCGTTTCCCTGGGTTTCCGGAGGTTTGCTAGAAAGAAGGATCCCTGGAAAGAATGGGGAAGGTAACACTAGAAGGGTACCTGTTGTTCGGCGGTTGGAAACACCCAAAGAGAGCCACCCAGTTTTTTACTCAGGGAAGGTACCTGCTTTTTGTTGGGTGGTTCTCAAGGCAAACCAACAGGACGAGGTCACCAGGTATACCTGCTTTTGGCGACTTTAAAAGGAAGCCAAACTGAAAAGCACAATTTTTAGGGGGACCCCTTAACAAAAAGGACACACCCAAAATTTGGGCCGATTAGTTGCTACAAGCCAGCCTGGGGCGCTTGTGACTGGCCTGAACTAGACAGCTGCCACTCTGCTAGCGACAGCTGCTGCGCTAGGTGGAAGGCACAGAGCCACTGTCTGAGGCGAACGTCATGGCCACCTCCACTTGGAGTTCAAGCGACCCGCGTGCTCACAGACCCAAGCAAGCGTTGCTTAAGGGGAAGCGCCGCTGCCCAGTCAGGCCCGCCACCCGCACCAGTCACAAACCAGCGTAAGGGCAAGACAGCGTGACATCCTCAAACGGCAGCCGCGCAGAGGCTAGTGGGCCTCTCACAGGTGGTGTACCGTGTCGCGCTTGATACATCGCAGTAAGCCACCTTCTGGCGAACTTCTGCGAAAAGAGCCGCGAGCTGGTTCCTGCGAGTTTTGTGTCTTATGAGGATTTGGGCGGCATAGCTTCGCTAGTGCTGCCCAGAGCGCAAGCGGCTCTTGGCTGCAAATGGCAGCAGAAGGGTATGAATCGGGGTATGAATCGGGTATGAATCGGGGGTATGAATCGGGGGACAGATTTTTTTCGACCGGAAAGACACCAAGATTACCCCAGAAGCACAAAGACAGCTTGTGTTTCACTGCGACAGTGGCCCAGGACAGACAGCTGTTTCCACCGCGTCGGACAGACTGCAGGAAGCAAGCTCCAAGTTTCAAGCTCAGCAGCGGCGCCCCCCCGCCACAGCGCCCTGCAAGTCCCAGCGTCTTACGTCAAGCTGCACCCCCCCGCCACAGCATCACGGATGCTACAGACAACTCTAGTACCAGGACATCCGCAGGATTGCTCTATAACTCCATCCATTAGCACTTTCCATTGAAAGTAGCAAGCCGAGACCGAGGACCAAGTGTCAAGGAACACCACTTGAGCCAAAATGGCCCCCCACGAGTAACCAGTGAGTGTGTGAGTGGACATGTCAACTGTACTTGGCCCCATGACATCAGAGCCCAACCATGCAAGCATCGCAGACTCAAGAATAGATCCAGGAACCACAAGTGAACCAGGTATTACCTTGGAGTCCCTACCCCCTGGCATCGGTCCACATGTCAAGCTCTCTAACACTGTTTCTTGACAAGA